CCAAACTCAAAAAAGAAAAGATCAATTGGAAAAAAAAATATCCGTGATATTTAAGGAAAAAAGAAAGGAAGGAAAATGACCGGATCATTACACTAAAAATTTATTAAATGCCTTCAGTTATCCTTTTTTTCTGAACCAATGTAGTTAAAAATGATTAGTATGGTTTCATTATGACTCTTAACACTTAGTAAGGTGTATAATGACCATTTTTCCTGTAACGACCCGGTCTTTTTCCTCCTTTTCCTTTTTCGGTGATTTTCTTTTTTCGTCTTTTTCCTATCTTGTCTTTTCCCTATTTCATCTTTTTCCCGTTTATCATTTTTCCTTGCATAACCTCACTTGTTGTGCTCGAATTTGATTCCGATTTTGCGTGCATCCATGATATTTGATTTCCATGATAGTGGTATTTTTACTTTTATAGAAAAGCATGTTAGTTGCTTACTTTTTTTCATAAAGGGCATGGATGCATACTTTATTGTAATTATTCTTTATTTTTGGGGTTTTGTGTAATTACATAAAGTAATTATTTTTCGTCTTAGGAACCATTGTGCAATTTAAATTGTAATATTTTGAAAAATGACTTTTTTGTAATTTTTGAAAAATGTGACAAGTGTCACATTCTCATGGAGCCACTTGTTGGCATTGGGGTGGAATGACTTGGGAACACAATCTATTGACATTTGGAGGGTGGAGATTCACCCACTTGTTGGCCTAGGATTGGTGCACTTGTTGGCTTAGATGGTTGACAAGTGTAGGCTTAAGATTAAGCCTATGAAGGAGCCATTGATTTGTGACAAGTGTAGGATCATAATTTAGTTTTACATTGTGTGTGTGAGAGAGGTAGTGTAAGAACACATAGTGAGTGGAGGAATATTAGATCCTCCACTCACCATTTTCAGTTGATCCTTTTCATTTCACATGTTCTTCAAGAACCTTAGCCTAGCCACCATTGGAGAAGAGCTTGGTTAATAGCTTTGACTTCATTTTTGGCCTCCTTCCGTTCACCCTAGACTTAAAACCTTGGAACACAAAATTTTCCCCTCACTCTCCTCTTCATTAACCCTAAACTTGTTTTCCATTTTGAGCTTGGTAGCTTAGATTATAGAGATTCAATTCTCTATTGAGGTAGGGGTGGTAGTATGTTTATATTTTAAGTGTTTTATAATCCTTGAGATTTAATATATATTGTGTACATGCTTTTAATATGATAGTCTTGCATATTATAGGAAACCCTCACTTCTTGACATAGAGTTTATTGATTTAAGCATGTATGATATGTATAAACCATGTGTAGAATGATTATATAATTTAGTAGTATATTAAATTCTAGTATTTTTCACATGTGGTAGTGATATAGAGCTCTTGTAGAATTATTAATATTATATACAATTACTATTGTCTTGAATTGTTATATTTATGGTGGTGATAATTCTATAATCTTGTTGATGATAATTGTGATTATTTTAGAAGCTTATTGCTAAAATGTTAAGATTTAGTATATAAAGCTTGTTGTTGAAGCATGATTTAAATTGATAAGTTAGTGGTATTATTTTGTACATTATATCATGTTAGAGACTTGTCATTTATTATGTCATTCTAGACTTGGAACCCTAAGACATGGTTTGTGTAGTTTCAAAAATGTTTGTGCATGGAAGGTGGTATCTATATGCCTAAATATTGTGTATAAGTTTTGAACTTGATATATTTTGGATTCTCTTAGGACATTGTTACAAGTGACATGGTTAAAGTTTGGCTCTAGTGTGGGAAGTATGAGTTCTCCCCAATTGAGATAGTGCGCACTAGGGTGGTCTTCCCAACGGGTTAATGCCCGGAATAACCATTGAGGTCTCCGCAGAATTCTGAGCTTACGTGTCCAAGGATTCCACTTTTTGATTTCGCATTCAATTCTAAGTTGACAATCAATATTTAAATTGTAACTTTTAATTTTGGTTTCATGCGATTTAATGTTGTTAAGTACATCCATTTTGGAATTGTATTGCTAGATTCATTTAAGTTAGCTTAAGATGATCCCTTAGAACACCTTGAACATAGACGTTAAGTGGAATGCTCCCTTGTATTCGTCTATATTGATCTTGCAATGATATTGAAACTTTAAGGTATACGCATATGCTTCTTTCTACGAGTAACTTGATTACTCACCCTAGTGGTTTGGGTTGTTTTACAGTTAAGGAGATTATGTTCTTGGATGCTCATCATCCTTAGTGGCTTATGAGCAATTTGGAACATTTTTGTTTATTGATATGCAAGTGTTAGCATGCTTTACTTTTGAAGTTATACTTTTGCATACCATGGATGTATGATATTTTTGAGGTTAATGTAGCTACCTTGATGGTAATGATACCCAAGTATTTACTTTTGATATTAGAAGAACGTATGTATGGAGGCCAAGGGCCAAGCATGTTTATATTAGTACTTGTATCTATTTGGTACCAACTTTTGTTACAAAAATGTATTTTTAACTACTTTGGAGGTTTGGCATGTGAAAATCTTGTAAAGGACATGTATGAGGCCATGGACTATTGTTTTGTATTCATTTATGCATTTAAAGGTTGTTGATATGCTCACATACTCACATCTCATTGAAAATCAGTTTTAAACTTTCATTTTTGAACCAAATCATCATGGGATTCAAAGCTTGGGTTGAGCCTTAACACCTTTGGTATATAGCAGTTCATATAACAGCATTTCGAGGTGTTTCGGTCGATCGAAACTTTATTTTGGTCGATTGATAGCTTTTGTAGCTTCATTGTATAGTAATTCATCAATTCCAGTAACCATTTTCAGCTTTCAGGGCCATTTCGGTCGACCGATGGTTCAATTCGGTCTACCGAACCAAAGACTCCTTAAAATCATGATTTTAGAAAAGTTTCTGTCCAGTTCGGTTGACTGAAACTCTATTTCGGTCGATCAAAACTCTATTTCGGTGGACCGAAATAGCTTGAACATGCACAGCTTCTCTATTGGGTTTCAGCACTAAAGTTTTAACTTCAAAATGGCATAACTCCTTCATTTCTAACCCAAATGAGGTGATTCTTAAGCCTAAATTCATGGATTTTGAGTCAGATTTCCAATGGTACTAATTCCATTCTTAGATTCCAATCATAGTGGGAGTTATTCATGTTTTAGTGAGGTAGTGTCAGTTTTTGCTTAAACCGGGAAAGGGCATTTTGTGGGATTCTTGTCCAAAGTTCTTAGAACCTCTTGAAATGTTGTGAAATGATTAGATTAGGTTGTATTCACCTTGTTTGACTTGTTTAGAGTCAATTATCTCTTCTCAATTATGAATTGACCTTTTTGCCCTTAATTGACGGATCTAGGCCGTTTTGACTCTCGTTTGCCCATTCGCTTTTCTTTAACTTTCGTGCCCTCATGGAATGTTACATTGATGTCTTAGAGATGATTTATATCTCAAAGGAATATGGTTTCATCTTTTGCTTCCGCATTTCGAATCCGTTATCGGGTTAACTTCGGGTCATCACTGACGCACCGGGTTGAAAAACTTGGGCCATCACATTTCCCTTGGGTGTTTCCAGGTCGAGTTAGACCCGGATAGAGATTCGGACCCACGAGTTCGGATCGTTACAGTTTTATCGACTTGTTTGGGCTGTTGGTGTGTTCGGTAGCATTGTTCTTCATCTTTTCTCTTTTTTCTTTATTATTCACACTTGTTGTCACTGATCATCTTAATGGTAAGTTGGACATTCATGCTCTAACTTGACAGGGAGTATTGAAGATTTAATGGAGAAATCAGTGGAGAAAAATCTTTCAGTAATTGATATTATTTCCGATTATTGAAGATTTGGTGTTACTAGAGGAATCAGCGGAGAAAAATCCTCCTTATTTCCTACTTTCTAATTCTTTCCATTCTGATAATTTTTCTCCTATATATAAAGGAGCCTCCACCATTGTATTGTATATGAATTGAGTTAGTATTATAAAAGTGATGTAGCCCTTTGGGCTTTTTGTGTTGTGGATGTAGGCCCTAATGGCTGAACCACGTAATATCTTTGTGTTCTACTTGTTTTATTTATCTTTTTGTTTCCGTTTTAGTTTGGAATATAAACTGAAAGCCTCTGTCTCCACACTCTTTTTACTCTTTCTCATTCAAACCAATGACATACTTGTGTACCATAATCATTCTTACCTTTTACTCCATTCGTCTTATATTAGTTGTCCATCTTTGTAATTAGAAGTTTTTAAGTGGACATGCAATTAGTGCATTATTCCCTTTCAGAATTACGAACTTGTCCTTTTAAGTTTAAATAGATATATAACCAAGTTGGAGCATTTTTTTGAAAACTTAAAGGGTAATGATGAAAAAAGGGTTAATTACACGGACCTCCTCTATGATTTGTCATAATTATAGGACCTCTATTATAATTCAAAAAATTAGACCTTTCTTGAAAATGAAACTAACCTATACGACTTTCCTTTTTAGTGATGGAAACTTAAATGCACTAAAAGACTTGCCTAATTTACTGAAATACCCTCACTTTACTATGTAAATTACTTAAGTACCCATTTAATTTTTTTTTTTTTTAACAAATCAGACTTAGTGATGCTCCAATGAGACTAAATTGCCAACAATGAAGTCTTATTTCAATGTCAGTTACACCAAAATTTTAGGACAAGAAACTCACCCGTTTTAGTTACTAAGAAAATGTCTAAAAAAAATGAAAAAAATAATCCAAAAGCTAGATCTTTTTATTTTTATTTTTTTATGGGGTTACACACCATATCTCTACTAAAATTTCAACTCTAACCTCCCTACTAAAATTTCAACTCTAACCTCCCTTTAAAAAAAAAATTAATTTAATATGGTTGAACCTGCTGGTTAAAAAAAAAAATTAATAATACACAAAAGTAGTTCTTTTACTCCAGTGATTGCAACAAAACTGCTTATCAGTAACCAATGCGCTGTAATATCTTTAACAATCTCCGGAAAATAAGGATGTAACAGGTAACAACCTCCTCTTTTCTTTTCTTCTTTTTAGAACGAACTTGCTTGCTTGTTGGTCTTCTTAGAGTTGTACAAGCCATTCTTTAAAGAATCTCTCTCTAAGCACTCACTTCCTCTCTCTAGATCAGAGATGATGATACCACCTGCCACGAGCATGAAACCGATCAACAAACCCAGCATCCAAAACCTCAATTTCCGGAAACCCAATTCACAATACTCAACGAGGTATCCAAACGATTCTCCCTCTTTCTAAAATATACTCACTCACTCTCTAGACCTGCGATCCACCATGGAGATGATCAAGAAAACCATCCACACCCTCAATTTCACAAAACCCATTTTACAATACATCTTTCTCCTCATCCTTTTCTCTCTCTACTCAACACCATCTTCAGTTTCTTCACATCCAGTACCACCACCAATTCCAATTTTGCCCATCCCAACCTCACAACAGCTCTCATGGCAACTCTCGGATATGGCCCTCTTCCTCCATTTCGGCCCAAACACGTTCACCGATTCGGAATGGGGCACTGGCCACGCCGATCCCTCCGTCTTCGCCCCCACTGCCCTGGATGCCGGGCAGTGGGTTAGAGTTGCCAAAGAAAATGGATTTTCTCGTGTAATCCTAACAACCAAACACCATGATGGATTCTGCTTGTGGCCTTCCGACTATACTGATTACTCGGTGAAGACTAGTCCTTGGAAGAGTGGCAATGGCGATGCTGTAGCTGAATTGGCTGAGGCTGCTAACAATGCTGGTGTCCAACTGGGGCTCTATTTGTCTCCGTGGGACCGGCACGAGCCCAAGTATGGGAAGACTCTGGAGTATAATGAACACTATATGGGGCAAATGACTGAATTACTGACAAGGTAAATTGTGATTGAACCGTTTCTGAAATGGGTTTGTTTGGACCAGTTATGGAAGTTCTACATTGTTTGTTAAAGTTTGTGATTCTGATTAATTTATATTAGTTCAATTTGATTAATTATGCCTTTGGAGGATTCATGTCACGGACTGTTAACTTTTAAAATAGCGAAGGGTGGACTTGGACATTCCATGGAAATTAAATTGCCAAATTATGTTTTGCATAATCTCATATAATGTTTTGCATAATCGCACATACAAACACAATACTTACCCAAACAAAATTATATACGCCCACAAATGCAACATCATCAACTGCGCCAATCTAGAAAATGTATGTTTGAAAAAGAAAGTGTGAAAGATCATACGATCGATTTTGTCTTCATCTCATTGTAGATAATAGTTTGCAACTAAAAATACCATAAAACATAAATGGATGCTTTTAGTTTCATGGGGATGTCCAAGGATGCAATGCAGTTGGAGAATTAGGAGCTTTCAAGTAATTCAGAGAATTGAGGAAGTGACCTTGTTTCCTATCCTTTTTTTTTTCCTCTCCCAAATTTGGAGCAGATATGGTGTGATAAAGGAGGTATGGCTAGATGGCGCGAAAGGGGAGGGAGAGAAAGATATGGAGTATTTCTTTGATGACTGGTTTGCTCTCATTCATCAGCTCCAGCCCGGAGCAGTCATTTTTTCTGATGCTGGTCCAGATACCAGGTGGGTAGGAGATGAAGGTGGTGTTGCTGGGACTACTTGCTGGTCGCTTTTCAATCGGAGTGCTGCAAAAATCGGCGATACTGATCCCAAGTGAGTTCTCTTTCTGCAACATCTCTACTTTGATTACTTAAAACAACAGACATGGACTTTTTTTTTTCTTCTTCTTAGTTGGTACTCACACACACGTCCCTTCTGAGACTTAAACCCCTAACCTCCCTTTGGGAAGTAAAAGGCTGATACCGCTAAGTCACTGGCCCGTTGGTCAGACATGGACTTTATCACCATTTAGAAATCATTATTTAATGCAGAGTTCATTAATATATTCATTTTGACAAAAAAAATTACAACTTCTCTCTGGAGTAGTCTAGCCAATGTATTGGAGCTTTGAAAGAAATATAATATAAATTTGAAATGAAATTATGTATCATTCCTTAGTAAACATATTTAGCTTGAATAGCTTCACAATAGTTGTATGAATTAACCTTTGAGACGGGCAGAGGCAGAAATTTCGTTTGGGCTGAACTGGTACGAGGTAATTAATATTTGAAAAATTTATAAATCAATTGTAATAAAATTTTGTTTATAGTATTAGTCTTATTATATATCTTGAGAAAAATACAATCCGAAAATTTGAGAAAAATGCAACTTAAATTAATAGAGATGGGAAAACTGATATGTGCAATAAAAATTCAGAGAGAAGAGGAACTGATAAGATACAATAACAAGTGGTACATTTGAAGCATTGTTAAAGAATAAATTTTCTTCAACGATTGTTACAATTTTATTCAAAAATTCAATTTCCGGGAAAATATATCAGTAATTAAAACCAAAAAAAGTACTATTTTAACTAAACAAAAACCCACAAGCTTTTATAAAGGACAATAGATTTTTTAGTAACTTATTTAAGGAGTACCATAGATTTTTTCATATAACAAGTATCAACTATAAACACACCCTCAAAATCAAGCTCCTAATCCTTCAGATGTCAAGGAGGATAAAAAAAAAGGGGGTAAAGGGAAAAAAAGGTCTAGGATATATGATATCATCCTTGTTCCTGGCATTCTTGCCATCTTGGTCTCACTACACTTCAGTTTCCTTTCTTCCTAATAATCCTAAGTCTCTCCAATGGAGTGTTAAAATATAATTTTAGATATTTTTCTTGTAAACTTGTATATATATATAAAAGAAAGATCATTTTCTTGTAAACACCATCCAAAGAAAATTTCTGGTAGGGAAGGTTTGTATATTTGTATTAAACATGAGGGGCAATAGTGTACTTTGCCCTTTTTCTCTCTCTTGAATTCATATAATGGATATTATACATGAGTGTATGTAAATGTGAATGAAGTATTGTGATGTTGTAACAAGTAGCAAGAACTACCATCATAATAAACTATTTTTTTGTTTCACAAGATTAGGGTATTCAAAAGTAAGTTTAGAAAGGTCAAAGTTTTCTACAACTTTTGAGGGGAAGCAATTGATATTTTTATTGAGTTTTGGAAACCAACAGTTAGGTTTTCTTACAAAATCATTATTTTTGAGGGTCCATAAATAAGAATTTATGAAAACTTTTGTAGTTAGTTTAGCCCTTGCTTTGAGAAGTATATGACTTGAGCCAAGGAACAGAAAGTTATTCTCTTTTTCGTAAGGTTTGCGCTTCTACAATGTATTTCTTGTGTGGTAGATTTCAGCATCCACCTTTATAAAATAACAATTCAGCCAACAGTCGTAATTTCTCTTAGTCTGCAAACTTGGAGAAGCAAAATTTTCACCAAATATATAATACTTTATTATAAAGTAAAGAGTGAGGAAGAATGCCTAAAGACTAATTGGAGATTAGATGATAGTCCATGATTTCAAATAAATAAATTAAGAATCAAAATTCCGTTGTTAACTTGCAAAGTTCTAAAATTCATGCTGAATGAAAGCAGAACTAGATTCAGTAAATTTTTTTAGGGCAAATTACCCTCACATCTCCTAGAGTTTGGCCTCTTCACCTACAAATTAAACTATTGCTAAAATTACTCTTGTCGGAATTGGAAATCTCGGCATTTGTGAACGGTGTATGTGAAATGGAAAAAATGCCTTAGGATTATCGCAAAAATAGAAGTGTTCGTCTTACGGACATGCGATCGTATATGATGACAAAACTAACCCTATTTCCTCTCCCTTAGACTTCTTCCACCGCCACAACCAGAACCACCTCCCTCTCTCTCTTTCTTCTTCCCTGTTTCTATCTTATTTGCTGCACAAAAATCATATCTCACAACAAGAATATCAGCAACTGTTGAAAAAGAGATATTCGGTTTTAATAAGACTAGATTTTAGGGGATATGATAGGTGTGTAAATATAGATAGTCCATGACTAAGATTAGGAATTTTTGTTAGTGTACAGCTTGTAGCTTCTGTTAGTTTACAGCCTGTAATTACAGCCTGTAGCTTGCTGTTACAGCCTGTAGTCAGCCTGTAGTTTCCTTTTGTTAGCCCCTTGTATTTCCTATTTAACTAAAGCATTGTAAACCATTCAAAGTACGGCAATATACAGATTCTTTTCAATCTTGAAATCGCCTATTTGGTATCAGAGCATCTTACCGATTCTTCTGAAAAAAAACCCCTAGCCGTCTCTTTTTTTTTTTCTCTCTTCCAAACAACCCTAATCACCATGTCTGATGATGTACCTGAGTCCAAGACCAAGACCAAGACCTTTTGATGTAGGAGAAGCAGAATGGAGTTGGGGAAGAAGAAGAAGAAGAATATAGAGAGAAGAAATTTCCACAATAATCTCAATATCAATAATCATAAAACGTCCATCACAATGCCTCCATCAGCCATATATATAGGCTTAAAACCCTAAATAATTAAAGAAAGTCAAATATAAAAATTAGGTAACATAATCCCTAAATAAATAAGGAAAGATTAAAGAAAGTCAAATATAAAAATTAGGGAACATAATCCCTAAATAAATAAGGAAAGCTGAATATAAAATAAAATAGAATAAATCATAAATCATCCTCTGCGCCTACGCCTATAGTAAGTGCGTAGACCACTTGGCTCGGGATCTCCATCAATTCTCCTCGGCTGAGAAGAACTCTCCTCTGGAGAGTAAAGCTCGTGATACTGCTCCAAAAGATCTGGATCAATGCGACGAAGTTCACCCTCTGTGATCCATGCATCATCTGTATCTGGACGATCTCTCCAATGGACAAGGTATCGCTGATAACCACCCTGACGTGAAGCAATAATTTGATGGTCAAGTATCTCTGCAATCTGATCTGTACTCGGTGGCTGAATCGGAGGAAGAACTGGCACTGGTATAGATGAGGATGTAACTCCACCTGTGGGTATACCTGCTGGAAAAGTGGGAGGCTCAAAGGTGCCTCGGTAAGGAAACAAATCCTCCACATTGAAAATTGGACTAATACTCATATTAGATGGTAAGTCAAGTAAATAAGCATTAGGTCCCAACTTACGAATGATACGAAATGGGCCAGTGGCACGGGCATGCAATTTCTTGAAGGAGTTTTTAGGATAACGCTCTTTGCGTACGCAAACCATAACATAATCTCCTTCATTGAATTCTTTATTCCTACGATGAGCATTAGCAGCAATTTTATAATTTTCATTAGTTAGAGCAATTTTTCGTCTTATATCGGCATGAACATCACGGATGTGCTGGGCGAAGGAATCAGCAGACTCAGAGGGACGGGATTCAGGTGGTAAAGGAATAAGGTCAACAGGTTGGCGAGGGGAAAAACCGTAAACAATCTAAAAAGGGCTCTTACCAGTAGACCTATTCACCGAACTATTATATGCAAACTCAGCTGTAGGTAATAGCGAATCCCATATACCTGGGCGCTCTCCTACCAGACACCTTAGTAAGTCTCCTAAACTTCTATTAACAACCTCAGTCTGACCGTCAATTTGGGGATGGAAAGCAGAGGAAAATTTCAAATTAGTCCCAAAGAGTTTCCAAAGTGTCTTCCAAAAGTAACTCACAAACTTTACATCCCTATCAGACACAATGGAAATGGGTAATCCATGGAGCCTAACAATTTCCCCAAAGAACAACTTAGCGACATGTGAAGCATCGGCTGTCTTGCTACAAGGAATGAAGTGAGCCATCTTAGAGAACCTATCCACAACAACTAAGATCGAATCATGTTTGCTAGAGGTCTTAGGCAGCCCTAGAACAAAATCCATGCTAAGATCTCTCCATGGCATGTGTGGGACAGGCAAAGGGGTATACAATCCAGTGTTTCTCTTCTTAGCTTTAGCCAGCTGGCATGTGCAACACTGAGAAACGATCCTAGCAACGTCACCCTTTAAAGAAGGCCAATAAAATCTGTCCTCTATGAGGGAAATTGTCTTATCTCTACCAAAGTGACCAGCAAGTCCTCCCGCATGCAACTCCCAGACTAAGAAATCTCTAATCGAGGTTCGTGGAATGCAAAGTCTAGAGCTTCGGAATAGATAACCGTCTCTAATCACAAAGTCAAGATAATCTCTACGGTTACCATTCTGAATCTCTGAAAATATTTCCCGAAAGTCAGGACAAGTGGGGTACTCATCCTTCATCCTTTCAAAGCCTATAACATCGACACTCATAGCTTGAAGAACAGCTACAACTCGACTGAGAGCATCAGCAGTCTTATTTTCTGAGCCTTTACGGTGATTGAGCACAAAAGTGTACTCTTGTAGAAAAGCAACCCATTTTGCATGTTTTGCACTTAACTTTCTTTGGGACTGAAGGTACCTCAAGGCTTGGTGATCGGAGTATAAAACAAACTCTTGAGGCAACAAATAATATCGCCAATAGCGGAGTGCCTGGATAACAGCGTACAGCTCTTTCTCATACGTAGAATATTTTTGTTTAGCTTCATTAAGCTTCTCACTGAAGTACGCAATAGGTTGACCCTCTTGACTTAAGACACCTCCTATTCCAACTCCAGACGCATCACAAGCAACCTCAAAAACACTGGAGAGTCAGGATGACGTAGACCTGGTGCTTTAGTCATTTTCTGCTTGATTTCATTAAAGGCTTGTGCTGCAGGTACAGTCCATTTAAACTCCCCTTTCTTCAAGCAATCTGT